CAGATTGCTAAAAATTCAGTATCTTACTGAGGTCAGGATGATCACACTAAATGTAAACAGCTGAATCCCAAAACACAGCAAACAACTTGTGTTTACAAACACCAAATCACAACTGTCCTTTCCCCAGTTTCCTCTCACTCTTAAAGACTGCATGAAGGTGCAGATCTGATTAATCAGCGCTGCCCAGCTAGTACTGTTTTTTTAATACACTCAGGCCATTCATATCTGAGATTTGACCGATCTGCTCCTTTCAAAGAAAAAATAACTTCCAAATTAAAATCCAAAACATGAACAGCTCTGTGGGATTTTTTTAAAATTAAATGCTAGCATTAACACTGTCAGTACCCTAAAAGCCTATGAAAAGAAGCTGCAGGATTTGCCATCAATCCACAGCCTACCTTACTGTACAGCAGTTCTGTGCAGACCAAGTAATCAAATTAACCAACTTCATAAAAACAGTCATTTAACAAGTCAACATTTTCAGAATTTGATGGAAGTTCAATTTTTCATAAAAAGGCTGTTTTGTCACAACTTCTGTAACTGTTAAATTAGTCTTCTTCTGTTCCAGGATGGATGAACATTCATTTGCTTACTGAAGTTGCAGACTCACAGCTGGGTTCCTGATGGTGGGATTCAACAATAAACATGGAGACTATCTCCACTTACAACTATGACATAGCCTTTGGATACTCTCCAAGGAAGCTGTTTTGTGTTTTATTCCTAGTAGTAAGTGCTTGGCATGGTCTGAGTACATCTATCAAATCAGATCTCTCATGGGATGCAAGAAGCCTCTGCTTTCCTTTCCCTGTGCTGTTGACAGCACTGTGCCAGTCAAGTGTTTGTGCTATCACACAATAAAACACAGCAGGGACTCCATCTATCTGAAACACAGCCCAAGGGTAGGGGGAAAGATTTCTTGCTCAGCACACGGCCATACAATCGTTTTAATAGTGCAGCAAAGGAAAGGGTGTCCTAAGCAGCACGGCTGCAAACACATGAGTACAGTTATTACACACTAGTACACATTGGAGCAGTTCCACATTGCCTCTCACACAGTCCAAAGGCAGAGTGTCACCAACTGCAGAGTGCCTGTTTCCCTTTCCTCCTTCCCAGTGAAATAACCTTCCCACTTCTTGTTTTCAATCTAGTACCTTTTTGTTTACAGGCCCAGTCAGACCAGCAAACTCACCTGAAAGGAAACCATGCTCCTCCCTAAATTCTCAAAAGCCACAGGGCAGTCTGGAATTGCCAGGTCCAGCTCTAGGGAGGGTACAAAAAGATTCCTCTGGGCAGCTCCTGGTGCTTAGACTGGACCAGGTGTGAAAAAATGGCCATTAGCCTCATTTTACTTTTAAGCTTTCAAAAGGAACAAGATATGTGGATAGCCACAACAAACACATTTCAATTACCTAATTCGTTAACATCATTGTCATGGAGCTAAATTGAGAAGCAGTCAAAAGAGCAAGTATTTAGAATGCACGAAGATGGATGAAAATGCTGAAATACTCAACCTATATAGACATAATCACTGTTTCCAAAAATGGCAATCTAAACCCTCATACCTCACAGAAGGATCATCTGCCAACTGACCAGCACCTGAAAGGAGCTAAGAGCACATACACCTCCCGAAGACAGCAACAGCAGAAAATCCAAGAACAACTCCTTCCATCTCTAGAGCATTGCAAAAATGGATACATCTCCAAAGTTTTCCTTTGCAATATTTGACTAAAAAGTATAGATTTAATTTGAAAATAATTTTTCCCAACTCTAAAACAAAGATAATTTTTCCCAACACAAAGACATAGAATCCAGTGAAATACTTGGTATAGGACCACCTGCTGATGATATGCACTTAGAGTTTCAATTTGTGTTCCAAAAAACCCAGACTAACCCTAGGCCAACAACAGGTGAAATCTTTTCTAAGGACCATCAACCACTACTGGGCACAAAATACTTTCATACGTGACTTCTTTATTGTCTTCAGCATTAAAGATCATGTCTATTCCTGTGTTAAGAACTAAGCTCAAATGTTTTCATGGTGACTTGAAGAAACTATCCATGTATTAAAGAGCATTACACCCAAAGTGTGCTTCAGTGTGCAAGCACAGGTTTTACTCTTTACATCCTAAGCTTCTGTGATGGAGCTACTTTGCTAAGCTTTCAAGTTTACATGTATTTTATTTAATATTAAAGCTCATACATGCTACATATTTTCTTTTACTGTTCACAACCCAGTCAAGTACTTGAGCCTCTTCTGGTGAGCAAGCTGATAGACTTTTTTTTTTGTTTCAAACAGCAAATCATTACTAAAAAAACCCACCAAATTAACAACCTTTTTAAAATTTCACTTGGTAGCATCACAGTCCTGAAAATAACTCTACTACAAATGCTACTGGTAACATCTCTACTAGGCAGCAAAGTACTCCACTGTTGCTGCTATAAATTCGTTTGCAACAGACAGTGGTATCAAGCTAGTCTTAAAGCAAAGTGAGTAAGTCCTGACAAAACACGCCCGATGCAGACTTCAGGATGAGGCAAGAAAACTCCCTATTTGCGGCAGAATTTAAAGACAAGCAAATGAGACACAGAGAGAACTCGCCTTTTATTCAAGCAAGGTGAAGTGAAAGTCAACAGCAGAAACAGATAAAAGGGCACAGGTCAGTTTAAATGCTTTCTGCAACAGATACAAAGTTTCAGTATTAAACAACCAGACTGTAAGGACAGTTCTTTAGAGCTTCCAGACAGGACTACCACAGATTAAAGCCTGGGCCCACATACTCAATCAATCTCCAATTAGAAAGACATTGAATACACTCGGGACCTTAAAACATGCTGCATATCCACCAGAAAAAGCAGCCCTCGTTTCACAGGTACGAAAAAGAGTAAGAGATTTAGGGACTTCACTCAGAGCATCACAGGCTTCTCTGAACCACAAAACCAGAGCTGGTGCTGAGCACAGGCAGCAGCTGCTCTGACCGCACAAAGACAGCCTCCCGAGCAGTGTGACTGGCAAGCTGGGTAACACACGCGTTTCCTCCAGACCCTTACGAGATCCTGCCTTTTGTCTCCTACACAGCTATGAGCAACCGGAGAGGGAAAAGCAGCACGGGGCAGGAGTGGCTCACGGGTGCCCAAGCCGGCAGCAGCACAGCGCTTGCGGGAGCTCACCTTGTATGACATGCTCCGGGGAGATGGTTTTCTTCTCCGATTTGTTGCAGATCTCGTTGGCCTCGGAGGAGATGAGGTGGATGAATTCAGTGCAGCAGTTGACCACCAGCTCCCGGGCGTCGTTCGCCACGCGGACGTTGGGCAGCGTCTCTTTGATCATCTTGTTGATGGCAGCCCTGGGGATGGTGAGGTCGTCGTCGTTGCCGGACGACGAGGCCATCCTGGCTGCGGGGGCTCCGGGCTGCGCTCAGCGGGGCTCCAGGGCGCGGGGACCCGGCGGGGGCGACGCCGGGGAGGGGTGGGGGGCGGCGGGGGCCGGGCCGAGGGTCGCTGCCGGGTCGGGGGTGGCGGGGCCGGGAGGCGCTGCTCGGGCTCAGGGCTCCCTCGGACGCGGCGCCTGCCACTGCCGCCTCCGACACATCCTTCGGGCGCCGGCGCCGCCGCCTTATGACCGGGCTGAGGGGAGGCGAGCGGCCGAATGGCCCGCGGGGTGCTCGGCTGGGTTGGGCTGAGCTAAGCTGGGCTGGACTAAGCTGGGCTCACCCGGCCCGGCGGAGCGGCGGCCGCGAGGCGGAAACGCTCCGGCTCCGGCTCAACCTGCGGGGACGCCGCTTCCGCCGGAAGCCGGAACAGCTTCCGCCGCGCGCCGTGGGCGCCGGAAGCTGTGCGAGGCCACGTGCAGGCGGCGGGGCAGGCGAGGGGCTCTGGGTCCGTCCGTCCGTCGGTCCGTCAGCCCGAGGGGTGCCCCGCCCGGGCACCGCCCGCCCTTCGGCCGGCTGCTGCCGCCGGGAGCTGCTTCGGGCCGCCCTTCCCTCGGTTCCGGTCGTAGCGGGGGGTTTGACACCTCAGGCAGGCGCGTTCGCACAGCAGGGCGCGCCGATGGCGCTCGGCTTTTCATCCACAGTCGTTTATCCACAACTCGCAGCCACGAAGGGATTTGTTCGGCATCCCTCTGTGAAGCTGCGTTTTGTGCTTTCAGCCACCCCATAACCAGTAGTGTGAGGGTTGTGTGAGTTACCCGGACCGCGCCGGTGCTCGTGGAAGGGCCGTTACAACCCGTGGCCTTGGTCGCACCGTGCTGCTCTGTGCTGCACAGGAAAACTGCCCGGGAATGCAGCCCAGCCCAACCTGCGGGCCAGGGACAGCCACAGCTGAGCGACACTGAGGGCACGCCCTGCCCTTCCCTGGCTGCCTGTGCCCAGCCGTGCCCAGCGCTGGTCCCTCACTGATGGCGAAGGGCTGCAGAGGGCAAGTGGCCGTGCTCCCTTCAGCGCCAGCACCACTGCTGTCCTTTGGTTCTTGCCTGCTCCTTTTCAGCCTGGCTGCTCTTCCCACCTCTGTGCCATGCACACGGTGATGCTGGGCTGCAGGCACCAGCCCCGTGTTTTCCAGGAGGTTTGCTTTAGGAGTGGGACGTAGTGGAGGCCTCCAGCTGTGCACAGGGGCTGCCGCGGGTGCTGTTCTCCCCTCACTCCCCTGCCTGCTGTCCTGAGGAGGGCCCTGCACGCCCCCACACCTCGGGCCCCACCAGGAGGGTCATGACTGCAGAGCAAGTCGTGTTCCCTGCAGTGCTTGGCATCCACAGGAGCTGCCCACGGCTGAGCTGCTGCTTGGCTTCTTGGAGCTCCTTTGGGGAGAGGCAGGGCAGGGCTGGGCAAGTCCCAGCACGGAGTTAGGTTTTGGCTTAGTGAGAAAGTATTGAAGGAAAGACAGTTCCTGTACCCCAGTGAGCTCCAGCTGGGCTCTCTGGGTGAAACAAGGACAGCTGCTGGAATGTGCTGAGAAACACCAGCCTGGAGGCCCGAGGGGCAAGGCTGGAGGTCAGGGAACAGGAATGCCACGTAAGAACAGCACTTAAACCCAGGCCCCCAGCTTGGCCTCAGATGACTTGTCAGACTAGAGTGAGAGAAAGACAAGGAAAAGACCTTCTCTTCATAATAGAATTTTGATTTAACACCTGCTTGTTAGGATAGCTTAGAACAGGAGAGCCTGTGGCTCTGCTTCAGACACTGAAGGCATTTAATGAATTGGAATCACTTATTACTGACAATACTTTGGTTTTCAAAATAATAGTACCAAGACAGTAAGAAGATATTTTAAGTTGCTTTTAAAAACATTTTATTGTTCACTAAGTGTAATACACTAGTAACCATTGCACATAAAGGAAGCATTCAGAATATTACAATAAATAGATATGAATAATAAATATCCCACTTGTGACACTTTAAGATTGATGAGACTATCTCTTCTGTTGCTGATAAATAGATTCAAATTCTGAAAACAAGAATGCAGCTGTGATTGAAGGATTATTGATTCTATCCTATTCTAATAAGCAAAAAGATATAATATTTTTATTATATTAAGAATCTAAATAGTTTACCTACTGTACACATCTCACTATGTATTATACTCTACTAAGTGAAGGGATTGGGCTAATACACAAGTGTCAGTCAGTGTCCACATTCCCACGAAAACATATCGGTGTGAAAAGCAAACACTAAATAGAATAAAACTGTAGTTAGAGGATTTTAATTGCAAGGTTCTTCAAACTGTAATGTTGAAGATATACACATTCAGCTGAATATGTTAGCTAAGCTCAAATAAACATCTCGAATTCCTTTTCACAATTACAGAGCAAAGCCATGTGAATAACAACATACTGAGTCATCGGTAGCTACAAGTAATCCCAATTTGCACTATATAATCTCATATTCATTGTGAGGGTTTCCCCAGGTCAAAGCTCTTTCTACTTCTCCACCGTAGCAATTTGATGAAGTTAAGACTTGCACTGAAGATTTTGTCATGCTGAAAAACCATTTTGTAGAATATATCAATGGGTAGATCTCCATTTGGATCTGCATACTTCAGAGTTGTCATTGGAGTATACAAGGTGTTGGTCTGATGGCGAAAAGGTGGATTTTCTGAAAGAATTATTTTTACTGTATGCTGTAGAGAAGGAGAAATAGAATTTTCAAAGGACCTTTATCAAAACACTAAAGTAAAACCCCAGTTTTCAGTTAGCAGTGGAAAAGTGAAAGAATAAAGTCCTAGAATTATGTAAAACCCTTTATATAGTTTTATTAGAATTTCATTAGAAAATTTTCTTAAAATATTTTATGGCCATAAGAAGTACTTCTTATTTATTCTTAGTCCTATTTCTGTTTCTCTATGCCACAGTGAATAGAATCTTATACCTAAGTATCCTGAATAGTCTTCCAAAATATGCCCACAATAGTAGATCCTTTCTTTTACAGTTCACTGGGAAAGGATCAGGGCAGTGCATTTTGCAGCAAGATCTGGGAGCCTTCAGTTGACACCGAAGCTATTCCTTACCAGCAAACACCTGAAATGATTGTCCCCTTCCCCGGCTTGCCTAAACTTGTCTTTCTGCAGGAAGCCCCAAGTGCCAGAAACTATGTCCACGTTTCTTCTATTGTGCCTTGGCGGTTTGGGGTGGCTGAGTAAACTTCCCCACAGTGGAGGGATCACCAGGGAGATGGACAGGGCAGCAGCTTTGCCAATGGTGGGAGCCCTGGGCATGCCTATGGTAACACTGCAGAGTGTTCAGCCTTCAACAGATGACATACAGGGCATCTAATACCTCAGTGGTATTTAAATTACAACTTGTAGTTGTCTTCAATAGTTCAAAATGAACATTCTCTTAATATTCTAAAGGGTTTTATTTGGAACTCTTAATATTCTCTTGAGTTTTTAAAAACCCTTTTTAATCATGTGTATTACATTTAATTAAATCTAATGCTTCTACCAGAAAAACCCACCAACAAACCACCGCATTCGTAAATTACAAAGGAAAAAAAAATCAAGAAAAAGAAGATGGAGAGTTGTTTATGAGTTACCTCTGCAACATCTTCAGCACTTTGTCCCAGGCTCTGGAAAATCTGCTTGTAATTTTTAAGGTAAATATTAGTAAACATCTCTGCTGTTTCTACATCTGCAGCTGAAAGATCCATTTTCATTCCATCTTCAAACACTTTTCTTTCAAACTCTGTAACCACTGGGCCTGGTTCAATCAAACTTAACCTGTTCAAAAAAAGCAAAGATATACTGTGTTTTGACTATCCCCCATGGAAAATACACCCCTCAATCCTTCCCAGAAAAGAAATACTTAAGAGTTGCACTCTTAGCAAACAATATTAAACAATACATTCTGTAGAGGCAACCCATGCTGCCTTAGTGTTCTCATGCTCCTCCTACCCATCCCCATGTAGTAGTAGAAATCTGCATAGTTTAAATTTCAGAGAAGTGCTGTAACTTAATTCATGGCATAAGTGAGTGGAGTTGTTACCTGCTGTCTCGCAGCTGTGGAATCTAAGGATGATTTATCCACAAGAACTTAGCAGATATTAAGAAAAATAATTAATGGATGATAACAATTCGTTGCTTTCTGGACAAAATTCTGCCTCAATTTCTTTGTTTCCCTTGATAAAACTAGAAGTAGCTGAAAGAGATGGGGGAACTGCCCAAACATGGATTTTCTTTGTCAGGCTGTCAGAGTTAGATAATTCAAGATTCCTCCACTGTATAATAATAAACTACAATATAGAGACTTTTGCTGTGTTTTTTTGTTCAGTAGCATAGAGCAAATCACTGAAATACAGATATGGGTTGGGGTTTTTTCCCAGTTCTTTTCTCAGGCAGTAATAACTCTCAGCCACCGTGTTTGTCAAAACACTCTTTGGAATAGGACCACTTTCTAGACTTGAGTTCTTTGGGAATGTTCTAAAGGCCCTTCTTTATAACTATAAGCTATTGACCTTCACAGCAGAATTCCAGCTACTGGTGGAACTAAAGCTTTTTCTCTTGCATCACTCTTCCCATCAGACCTTCAACTTTTCCTATTATACTTCCTTTTTTAACCTCCTTTTTGCTGTGTCTTATACTCTTGAAATCTAATTATGAATTCTAGTATATCCTGTATATCATTACAATACACTTATTTTAAATCCCTCCAAACTTTGCAGAGCAGTATGTAGAATCACAGTTTTGTCTCTGAAATCCCACAACAGCTGGTGTCTCCCACAGCACAGGGGCTAAATGCTTGGGCACACACAGATGCAGTGGATATTTACCAATTGTTGGACTTCACATGAAGAACAGTAACAGAATTACATGAGTGTGAATATACATGTGACAAATCAAACCCCAAAATCCACAGATGATGAACAAGACCAGTCTCTTAAATACTGTCTAAAACATTAGAAATAGTACAGCACACTGTTCTCACTTGCTCACTCTCTGTGGTGAGCCCTTGAAGTTTTTCATCTGTGAATTGCCTAAGAAGGCTGTATTTTATCCACAGCTAAACAGCCTTTAACTATTCAAGAGAACATGTTTATTTTAACATCTAGATCTTTTTATTTGCTTATGTAGCGTGAAGAGCGTGAACATTTTTATGCCTTTTGTGACATACGGTTTTCAAGGGGTTCTCAATCTCTTTAGCAGCAAGCTTTAAAAATCTGTTTACTAGGTCTGAGATATTTAAAACTATCCAAAATACAACTTACACCAGTAGATCAATACTTACTGCAGTTTGAACTTGAGTGCTTGAATAGCTAAACTTTCACAGAATCCTTCCACAGCAAACTTAGATGCAGCATAAACATCATTAAATAAAATACCTGATGTACAAACAAAACATCTCTTAGAATGTGATTGTATTCAACATACTAATAGTTTAATTTTAAAAACTCATTTCTACAGTCTTGCTGAGAAAACATTAGAAAAATCCTCATGCATGCTGAATTTAAACACTGATTTTTGCCTAAGTTCTCAAAATTGCTTAGTCTAGGAAAGGATGTTTGACTAATACCTTTCCTTCTTCTAGGCAATGCTGTTTGGATGATATTATTTTGTAGTCTAAGATGTGGAAGTGTCTGTACATGTAATACCATCTGCATTATTTATCAGCAAGACTTAAATAGACGAACACAGGACCTGAGCGTAATGCAGGAGATGCAATCGTGCAAGAGACCCACCTTGCATCTGAGTGAGTTAGAAAAAGCTCTACATCAATCCATTTAGGTGGAGGGTAAATATTACAACTTGTGCAGATTGCTGTAGGGCCCGTGCTCACCAGAATAATCCAGGTAAATTGTAATAATTGAAACAAATACAGTTAGACAGGATGGGACACAAGAGTGGGAGTACCATTATCTGTCAGTGAAATTTTACTCTCTGAGTTTTATGAGATGAGAAACTTTACAAAAAGGTGGTACAGTTGTTCAGGATTGGATTTTATTCTATTATGATTATTTTGCAGAGTGTAATAAGCATGTTTGTCTGTTCCCATAATTTCTTCCAGTAAGAAAGATAAAAGTGATGCCAAGCCCTATTCTCCAGATAATAAAAATAAAACAATAACATTTAAAAAAAATTGGAGTTTAAGTTAAAACTCTAAAAAAAGATTCACTCTGCAGGTTTTGTTGCTAAAATGTCTTGAGAGTAGCTGTGTAGTAACATCCCCCTTAGATGCATAAAACCTATCAGGTGCTTTTTATGGTTGGAACTTCAGCATTAAGAAACACAACAGTTAAGATATGTCAGCTCCTACTTTTTTTTCTTTTAGATAAAAAGAGGAAAGCTTTAAATTTTGAGTACTGAACTCTTAGGTCAAACAAACAAACAAACAAACAAACTTTACCTTGTATTCCCATAACACTGCTTATTATAACTATATGCCCACTCTTTCTCCTCTTCATGTCAGGCAAAATCTCCTTCAGGAGTCGAACCAGTCCAAAGAAGTTGGTATCCATCACAGTTTTCATTTCATCTATGGTCTGACATTCAATAGGTCCAATGAGCCCCATTCCAGCATTGCTCACTGGGCAAAATGGGAGACAACAGTGAGCAACAACCTCCATAAACATAAACTTGTAATCATTACTGGAAAGCAATTGAAAGTAAAATGAGGATTAAGGGTTAAATGATCCTTAAATAATCCTTTAAGAAAGGATTAAAAGATGTTATTGTCACTAAAGCTTTGCAAGTACACTTGACATTTCCGGATTTCTCTATTTTTAACTATACTTTTAATCCAATTTAAATTATCAGATACTTTGCATTTTAACTAATTTATTTCTGATTAGTCCTTTTTTAAAAAAAATTACTAAAGTATTACAGGAAAATGAGACAAGAATTACCTGTATTTGTTTATAATTCAGTATTAAGAATTAAGAGTTACAGTCAATACCCATAAGAATGAACAGAAGTCTTCAAAACATGATAGACAGGGCCATATTGTGGTCTGCTTTTTGTTTTCTTAACATTCATAACTTCAAGAGGAAATAAATCCCCAACAAAACAAACCAACCGAACAAAACACACTTCCATTGATTTTTATTTGTCTCCTGGATATTTGTAAGTGGAGAATGATGATAGGACTGGCATTCTGCATTACAACTAGTATCTCAAATTAGAGTACAATACATTTTGCAGAAACAGCTTTTTAAGCACTGCTTTAATAATTAATCAAAATAAATGTAGATCCATAATTTTCTATTAGAGAAGATTTATTAGCTGATGGTGTAAGCAATTTCCATCTTACTAAGATATTAATATTTATTTTTAGCAAAACAGTATGAAAACACTTCTTGAATTATTTGTACAGTACAATTTAAACTCTCCATACAAAGTGAAAATATCCTTACTTTCTTTGCATTTGTTCTTTTACTTGCTAATTCCCAAATGCTGTTGCTTTCTTAGTACAAAGAGTTGTTGCATCATCAATAGAGTAGAAAGTCTTGCTCATGAAGGTGCTGGTTTAGGCAAAAGTTCTCACATTTACTAAAAACTGTATCATCTTATCCAAGACTTCCCTGTGATCAAGTTTCTCCTTTATAAACAAGGAAAATAAGCTTCCCTACTTCATGAAAACGGGGTTAGATTTAACCTACTCACGTCTGCATGAAGTCTTAAAATCTTGAACAGAATATACTACGCAATTATTATTACTTTGATAATTTAAAAACTACACTAATGAAACTTCTGCAGGTTATTTGAGATGATGATATATAGAAATCTGGTATCTGTTCATAGCACACACATCCTGTACTTGCCTAAGACATCAATCCTTCTGTCAGGGATACTGTTCACACAAGCTTTAATAGACTGTTCATCACAGACATCAAGTTGTTTAATTTCGAGGGTTTTGCCCAGCCTGTGACCTGCAGCTTCCTCCAGTGGCTCTTTCTTGGACAGATTCCGCATTGTGGCATAAACTGCAACATACCAGAAGCAACAGTTATCAGAAATAAAATCTTTACTCTGTCAGTCTTACTGAGAAGTATTAAAGAATATTGCTTTTACATCCAGATCTTAAATATCAGTGATAGAAACCAGATAAAAACTAGAAGTAAAAAGACTATTTTCAACATATATTGTCACTGATTTCCCAGAGACTGTTTCTGAAATCTTCAAGAAATTCAAAAGAAGAATTAAACCACTATGCACAATGAAGAATGCAGTGTATAAAGATAATATTATCACCAAAATTTAAGTAATGGATATCAAGGTATATGATTAAATTGTTTTTAGGTACCCAAAACCTATCTCTTTCTTTTTTTGTTTCAAATCACCATCAACCTGTTTAGTAGACCAACCATAATTTTATTTAAAAAGTGGAAGACAAATACTTCCTTAGGTTGAAAAAATGTCTACTTTTTGCAAGCTACTTCTCAAAATAGAAATTAGTTTTAACATTATTGTGGCCTAATTACTCGGAAAGCTCTGAATCTGCATCCAGTCAGTTAGCAGTAAAAAATTGTGAAAGTAGGTATGAGAAACTGAATTAACAGACATTGCTGTGTTCACCTTGCCATCCATTTTCAATCATAGCAAATACCCTGTTTTGCAGCAGTAAGACAAATCCCAGTCCCTTTGTTCACCCAGTTATGCCTGCACAGAGTTGGAATAATGACATGTGCTTTAAAGAAAAAACTGCAAATTTAGGAACTGTTTATCTAAATTCCCTCCTTTGGTCCTCAAATGGGCATAGGCACATACATTTCATTCAACAGATTTTAGAAGCCCCAAGCAAAGCTGTGAATGTGTATCTGAGGTAGCACACTACAGAGATCTGCAGCTATTCAGCTTTATGTTCCCATCTTTTCCCAGTGTGTGTTAACTTATTCACTTCCAGTAGTTGTTCAGTTTCAATATAGCTACAGAAACATAAACTGCTTACAGAAAACAGTGTATTTTTCACTGTATTGTATTTTCTTGAGAGTAAAAGAGGAAAACTAACAAGAAACGAGTCACCAAGCTGAATACAACTGCCCGTAAAATCACAGAGGAAAAAACAGCACTGTCTTGGACAGAATCTTTTTATAAAGATAAATAACAGATACATGGTTACCTTTAAATCTTTTCTGTTCATCTTTTGCCATTTTTACAGCTAATGCCAGTCCAATTCCTGAGGAGCAACCTGTAATGAGGACATTTCTTCTTGCCATTCTTTTCACTGAGTGGTTCAAGCAAGAGTCTTCTTCAGAGGAGCAACAACCTAAATGTGACTACAGTATAATGTGACTGCCCTTTAATGTTATCTCCAGCTTCCCTGAGTCAACAAATCTGAAAGTGCACACCTGGGCCTTGCATGATTAAGGGATAATCTCCACCTAGACAAAAACAGAAGCAGATGCTCCTGCATGTGCTTATAAACTGCATTATCAACACGGATTATATTTAATACAAAATTTGATTAAACTTAAAAATAAGACATTTGTAAACGATATGGGTTTTTAATAGAATAACCAGCTTGCACAATACTGGCAGGAAAAGCCTTGCCACAGTTACAATCAGTCTGTAGTGTCGAGTCTTCCACTCATATTTGTGGAAAGTAAACTGCACCCAAAGTGGGATCCCTCTGCTAAAGCTGGTCAGACTTTCTACATCTACTGCACCCTCCTTGTTCTTTTGCAATAGAATGAGGAATGGATTTCTTCCCAATCCCTTACTATTATGAGTCCTAGTAGCCATTACAGAAAAAAAAAATATTGAAAAATGGGATGCGGATTTTGAAAGAGACAAGTTGGACAGATTCCTCACATTTCCTTTTGGCAGTGTTCTCAACCAAGAATAGAGAAAGCAAGCAAGTATACTGGCAGTGGAGAACTGACAGGAAGATGTTGAACAGACCAGCTTCACTACCTGCTTGCTAAGACTGGAATCTCTTTCAACACTTTCGATTCTGCAAATGACAACATGGAAATTTAAAAAAATCAGAACTAGCATGATGTCTGAGTTTTGGACCGTTCTAGTTTTGGAGAAAATATTCCACCAATTTTGCATATAAACTGTGGATTAAACAGAGGGGCATCTGGACTGGCACTTTGGTGCAATGCGAACTTAACATACAGTAACTGCAGGTACATTGCAGAAAGAAAGACCTTGATAAGCAATTAGCCTTATGAGCAGCATTCAGCTAATTGCAATACCATTATCCCCAGTCAAATGTTTTCCAAGACTCAACAATCCCATGTGATGCAATGCACTTCAGAAAAATGAACTTAGTGTTCCAGGATTTGCAGAGAAGTAAATTCATCAGTAATTCAAGAAAAGTAGGACCCTACAGAAACATTTAACTGAAATTATGTTAAAAAAAATCCAACTCTATCCTTTCCAAAAGAAATAAATTGACTTGAACAGTATAAGTGGAATCATTAACTTCTCAGGCAAGCAACAAAATAGCACAACATCTAAAGAGAAAACGTAATTATGATTCTGCTTATTTATCAGGTTTGACCCACAGTTTAACCAGATAAGTTAGTATACAGACAAAATTTTAGTGCAAATGCTATTTAGCTGATTCAGAGATTAGGCAAATTGCTTTTGCTGCTCATGCACATTTATATTTAGTGCATGTAGGAGGAGCAAGCGAGGCTTTATGCAATGCTAGTTAGTGGAATTCCACTAGTGTTGTGATGCAGCTGTAATTACAGATTGGTTGTATTTTCCACTTGAAATCCTGGTTTGAAGGGCTTACATGTTCCACTGCTTTAAAAAAAAATCTGTCTGAAATTTGATGCATAGAATTTTAGCCTGAAGGCAAAGTGATGTGCCTAAAGAGAGGAAAAAAATAATAGTTTAATTTGCAATTATTACACCGGTCAACCTAATTCTAATGTTTTTCCTTTACTATTATGTAGAGAAACGTACAGCTTGATGTAAAACACGCAATACATTTCTGTAAGGAACAGTATTTTTCGCTACATCATAATTTTCATACTAGCAGATTAAATAATCTGAAACTGCAGAAATATTTTAGATAAGTGTATCTTGACCTTGTCAATGGTAGCAGAATGTGTGGCTGGTTTTGTAGAACCACTTAGAGTGTGGCATTTGTGGAACGTGTTTACATAAACAATGAAAGGCCTATGATTGCCCAAGGACTTTGGCACAGGACCACTTGCAGAGTTGCAGAAACACAACAGATATATTTGTTGGCCAAGATTCACTTTTAATGTACAAAACACTTAACTGAGGCCTAGGATTTAAATTGCAACACATTCAGTTCTGTTCCTCAAGTCAAGTAACTTTATTAACTTGATTTTCTGAAGTACAAATCACGTCTTAATGCACATAAATCATGTATGCATTATTCAGACTCAGATTGAGGCCTCATAACCACATTTGCAGTTTCTGATGCTCATATAAATATAAAAGTGGGGCCACCAGGCATTCATACAGCTAAATTGTGTAGTACTTTTGGAAAAATGGAAATAAATATGTTTTAGAATGCATAATTATGATGCCATTTTAATCTATGATAATTTTTGTAGGGATTTTTGTTAGAAGAAAAAAAAAAGCTCAAAGCTCAGGAAGCTTTATGGCCTTGTTCCTTTGCATCTTAAAGATACTGCTTGGAATAAAGCAAGCAGGTTTCCCCAGTGTCTGCGATTAAATCAGTGTCCTAAAACATCTTACAAACAGGTCAATTTTAATAAGATGTTGTGTCGGCAACACTGCATATGTACAGAAAAAGAAGACAAAATATTCCCAAACAAAAATTCTTAATAATACCATTGTGTTTTTAATTAGAAGTGAGATATGAAACAAGTACACCATTCAAAATCCTTGGGAAAAGATGATAGCTGAAATTAATTTCTATAACTTAAGAGAAATAATTTTTTTTAAAGTATAAAAAATAAATTAATATGTTGTTAAATCAAGGCAATAATCTCAAAACCAGTTGGAAAAATAAAAAGAGTATCATCTGCTTCAGTACAAATAACTGCATTCCTTCTTTAGAAATACAACATTAACATTTCCTCTTTGAATGCACAATAACGATGCCAGCAGTAGCATTCCTGGGTTGCTGCTTGTCCAATGGGCAACATTCATTTCTTCACAGTTCTTGCCCCTGAAACAAAGTATCTGCGATCAGAACCTTCCTTTAAACTTCTGCATTCAAATTATTATACCTAAATCAATTTGTAACAAGATATTACTTTTCATTATTAAGATTTATTTTACAAATTCAAAAAAACTAACAGCAGGTCCCAAGTCCATGGCTGCTTTCTCAAATTCTGACCCCCAGAGTGACATTATTAATGCATTTTTGTCCACTGTTCTTGTAAGTGAAGTACATTTGCTTTCTCAATGAGCACAATTTACAAATTTTCCAACACATACTAAGTTCTAGCAGATAAGTAGGAAAATTTTATGTGGAATATTTTAAGAAATCTTCATATGTAAATCCCTGTAAAAATTTTGTACAGTTTAAAGGAGCACTGTCTTTTGAAATTGCTCCTCTGTGTAAGGCTTAAGGTTTCATGTTGGATTTCATTTGTGTTTAAGTTCCTAGCAACCCGAGATTCTAATAATTCAGGAAGTGTTTGTAAAAACCCCATCAACAGTATCAAGGTATCAAAAGGAAGAAAGCTTATGATGTTTACCAGCACAAAGCAAGAAAAATAGCAACGTGAATGTAAACTGGATTTTCTACACTACATAGAAATAAATGCAGCCAAACACAGTATGTTTGAGGTTGGGCAGGTTTTTTTTGTTTCTAGAGCTTTAGCTTCCTCCCCCCCTGCTTCAAAAAACAAGTTTACATGCTGGATCTAATTATTCAACAGTTCATTTATAGAAAGAGCATTCGGTCTCTTTAGTATGTGATACACAGCAGCCATGTTTACATTAACATTAGGGTTTTAAATTATTTAATTTCTCATATCAGAAGAAACTGGGGTCACAAAAAATTACTTTGCTATAAGTCCAATCTGCCTTTTTTTTTCTTTAAATAAAGGAAATTACTTCAATTTCCCAGAAAAATGAAAAACCCATTCTTAATGTTCATTAAGGTATTTTCAGTTCCTTTATTTGGAATACTTACAACTTCGAAGGGTAGCAGAGTGCTGAATTGTTACAAGATCCTCACTGCAGATTGAAGCAGAGTAAGAACAAAGAACAATTCAACGGAAAAATCTGTGACCTGGTTATTTCATGAGTCCCAAAGGGGCAGAGTGGACTAGGACAGAAAACAACCCTCTCTAGCAATTCCTTCCCTGAACTAATATATTTTCTGTAATAAGCAGACAAGGTAGTGTATTAAGAGGAAAAGGAATGAGACAGACTACTCCCCTGGGCCAGACACACACAGGCCCTACCCCTTTTCCCTAGATAAATTAGGCAATGGAGTTTTTAGAACTAGGACAGAAAGTTTCTGTGGAAGACTGGTCAGTCAGTCTGCAATGTGTTACTAATGGAGAAAGTGGTTTCTTACATCATGTTAATATACACAATTTTTAAACAAAGAAGGAACCACATCATATTCTAAGTGGAACCAGAAGCCCTCTGCAATGTATTTTGTATTTTATGCAGAATGCTTCCAAAATCTAGTGTTTTATCCATCTCATTACAATGAAAATAAAATTTCTTTTTCTTCATCCCAAGTCTCTAAAGGAACATGACTGGAGTAGATCTATTTTCAAACCCTTTCTTATATCATTCTAAGGCCTCTCCCTACCTGGTATTCCTTAGCAAAAACAATAACAAGGCAATTTGTCTGGAAAGAAAGGGTCTAGCCAGCAGCTGTACAGGGGCTAGCTAGGAAATTCTTTCCTTCAGAATCATCCCTTAGGAAAAGTTGGAAATATGTTAATGATATGTGTGAAAGGTAGCAGCAGTCACTGTCCTGTTCTCGAGTGTCATAAACAACCTAACAGAAAACAAGACAGGAGAGCTGACACTGCTTTAATTGGCAGTGAAACAACCTTCATATTCAGCTGTTACACTGCCAAGCCCCCATGATCTAGAATACAGATCAAATGCTTTTGGTGACCACACAGAAATAAGCCTTCTCTGATATCTCACCCTAGGGAAAAGAAACACACAAATGCAGCACAACCAAAGTAGCAGGAGCCATTGTGGCTTTGGAGTTTACCTCTAGCTGGCAATCATCTGCACAAAGCCTACTTATCTCAGGTCACATTTATATTTGTAGGGACTGATTCATGCACCAAACCAAAGATTTGCATAATTCATAAAGTCATCTATAAAGTTTATTCTATCCATAGGCTCCCATTCACTATGCCAAAAAACTCTCACTTCTCGTTCCTATAAACATGCCACATATCAGGGCTCTTTGGATGCAATAATTTTTGCAAGATAGTACCTAAATCATGAGAAGCCCTCATTAAACAGCATGTTGTTTTGTTTCATTTCAAGGAAGACCGTGTTGTCCACAGTCAGAAAACAGGGTTACTAATGATAATCAGTATTCAAATTTCTCCACAGAAAGCAGACAATTAAGTGTGCCATTAAATTCGTAATTTTTAAATAACTAAACTGGTTTAACTTCAGGGGATTAAGATTCAGCAAACACCAGGATATAAAATACAATGATTCTGGGAGAATTAATGACACTTACGCTAAAGAGACACTGTATAGTTCCTTCTAGGCAGGTACAGTAATGGCATTAAAAATTGATCATTTGTTGTGTACATTTTACCTTTTCAAGAGCTTCTAGGCTATGTTGTTTTCTTTGATTTCTTTTTTTCTTCAGATGATTTATTTCTTGGTCTCTCTGGAGCAATTCAAACTCTTTTTCACGAAGCTGATCTTTAGAATGCTGAAGTTTCTTCTCTAAGCTCTCAATCTGAACAGAAAATGCAATTAAATCAGAACTGATATTTTACCAAAGTCAGAATGATTTAAAAAAACCCCAAAAACACAAAACAAAGAAAACTCACAAATAACCATCAGTTTTACCACTGCCTTTGGATTCCCTTGTTGATTTTTTATTTTGTCAACATGTTCCTTTACCAAAAGAGCAGTTTGGGAGCTATATCATATCAAGTGAAAAAATAAGTTTTCATTTTTGCACTGTTATATCCCTGCAAAATTTATTGTTTCAATTGACAAATGAAGTGGTTTTGCTGGTACATTATTAAGGTACTGCCTTCCCTCTCCCTACAATAAGAAACCAGTTTTCATCTTCTAGATTATACCTGTCCAGCTATTGTGTCCCAGGACCAGACTTTCTCATAAAATTAGCTACCCTTTGGTAGGGAGACTGTTTTTAATTAAGTGAGAATTACCTTTTTATTGCATTCCTTGATTTCCAACTCTGACTTTTCTAAATTGCACTGTAATTGAATTATTTGTTGTTCCATTTCTTCCCTATATGCACGAACTGTCATATCCAGCTGTGTAATCTACAGGTAAGAAAGGAATAAAAGGAAATATTTTATTTTGAATTCGTATGCAGATTTTAAGAAGCGATATTACAAACTATGAGAGCAAAATGAATGAAATTAATCCTTTGTAGCCTCAAGAGTATTCTCTGGAGTAGTCAATATAAAACTGCACCCTAGCTATGTTGTTTAAAAAAATAGTGGCCAAACATAAAAAGAAAAGGGGAAAACCAGGAAAAAAATCCATAACTGAATGTTAGGTCCTCATATACACAGAATACAAGCCTATACCTCATTTTAAAAGAAATATAATGAGTAATTATACCAATCCCTTTTGTTAGAAAGCGACAGATTTTGCCAAACCAAAAAGAAACATCAATTCATCACAAGCTTTCATGAATTCCTGGAGCAGCTCACAGGATACTGTGGCAAAAATATATTGCAAGATCTGGCCTCCTTACAGTGTCAGTTGCTTAAACAGATTTATTCAAATCTCCACTCCTCCTCTCTGAACCTCAAATATTCTTGAGTACAAAGGCTAGTAACTCCTGCAGGAAGAGGCTAATTATAAGTGGCAGAAAAAGAATTTTCCCATGATGGGCATCAAAGAAGCCAGACCAAAAGACTGAAAATATTTCAAGTGAGCTACAGAAATTTATTCTCAACCAAGACACCATTTCATATTTAGAGCTAATGCTTTAGAGCTAATCAAACATGCTCCAGTGCAAACAAGGAAAGGAGTCTATCATCTCCAAGCACACTTCAGCAGAGCTCTTTCTTCCTCTTACCAAACATCAAGATGAGAACAGTTGTCTTATAACTTTATCACTAATGAAGAACTAATGAAGGGTTTGCATGAGGCTTCTGTTTCATCAAAACAGAACTCTGTGGTCCCTTAGGGGAGCACAACCTGATTTTCCTGGTAACATAAGGCTTCAGTAACACGGAGCTGGTTTTGAGCTTGACTCCATGGCTACAGTAACAGTACAGTTTGAGACAATACTTCAAAGCAACCAAACCTAGCAGGCTTTTCATAAGTTATCTACTACATAACAGTAACAATTGTCAGCAACATACTTAAAATAATCTGACCTGAGCTGCTCTTTGTTTCAGTTCCCAATTCCTTTCTTTCAGTGCTTGGTCCATTTCAAGGAGTTCTTGGTTTTTGTCTTCAACTTCACCCTTGCAATACCTGAAATTCTCATATGTTTAATTGCTTAACGGATATTCAGTTGCTTAGCTTCATGTATCCAGCTTGGAAATCATTAGCTCTGTTACTTACAGCCACATTACCCAAAACATGAATCAACTAATTGATTGCAAAGAAACAAACCCAAATGGAATAATTCTGTTTACTATATTCCAGGTGGAGATTTCCCAACAACTTCATTATTCAAGTTATTTAATTGGCTATATCAGGAAAACATGTTCTTAAAAAAGAATAGTACAGAAGAAAGTACCATTAATTTGTGGTCAGAAAGGAAACTGGAAAATTTCACTATTCTTTGTACAGCTACTTCACAGCTTTGGGATTTAGAAAATAATTTTAGCAGATTTTAAAACAGAATTCCTAAAAAAGAATTCAGTACCACTTTTAGAAATTAAAAGTGAGCTGAGGAGCTCAAGTATCAACTTATCTTACAGCTGAAAATCACCTAAAAATTATAGAGAGCTGCTAAGAACATCAGAAAAAAGCCATCCAAGCTACTTGCTATTCCTAAGGAAAAATTAACACAAGTAAGTTTTCATGATGGAAAAGATATCAGCTTACCTGAGCTCAGTTGTTAGCTCCATGATAGCAATGTGCTTCTCCTCCAGAGAGGACTGTGCATTCTGTAATGCATCTTGCAATTCCTGAAGCTGTGTTAAAGTGATTTTTAATTCTCCACGGGCATTCTGTAATGCAGATTCTAGTTCTGCTATTTTCTGTAAGGCTTCCCTGTGGCAAGTCTCACTTTGAAGCAGCTTATCTTCTAAATCATTCACTATTTTACACACACACACCACAAAAGACAAAATGCTTAATCATCAGGACGCCAGGGTCTTTATGCAACACCACTACCTAGTAGCATTTGTGGTCATAATAAATTTTCAGTATCAGTATTTTTTAGGACAATCTAGAACAACAGTGACTTCTTATTCAAAAGCCTTCCTATGGCATGTAAGTCTTTGCTATGTTTTCATTCAATTCATGACTTGAAATATGAGGATATCTCTAAAAACACCTGGCCAAGGAGAAAGTGCAGGGACAATACAGTAATTGAATATGCAGTGCTATGAAAAATGCAAGCAGAATTGCTGGTATTCCTCTGGTTTAAAACAATGGTACAACTAAATTAAATGGAAGAGAATGGATTGGAAAGTTTATTTCCACAGAGATTTTCTGTTTCTTTTAAAGAGCTGAATTTTTGTGAATAGCAAAAAATGTATGTGCCTCATTTGATTATTACAGTAAGAATCTGCATTGCTAATTTACAGGGAAACTACTTATTCATTTCACCTGGAGTAAAGGTATATACCACAGAAGTGAGAATTTGCAAAGGTATGTTAAAAAAAAGCTTGTGATTTTTTTGCATTGTGGGGGGGTTGTTTGGTTGGTTTTGGCTTTGTTTGTTTGGGTTTTTTTAACTATGGAATTACTAACACATTAAAAAAATTACCATTTTTTGACTCTCATGTACTTGATTATAAAACGGGGAAATGGAAAAATGTCTAATACATAAACAGAAATAGCATAATTAAAGGAAGCCTGAGAAACAAAATAGCCAAATTACCCTCATTTGCCTTTTTATTGAGCTCTGATCTTGCTTCTTCCAAAGTGATATCCAACTGATTTATCTGCACTGTTTTGTTTTCACCATCTTGTTGTAATTGCACTACTTCTTTTTCCATATCAATAAGTTCATTTTTGCACTGATCCATCTCCAATTTAATCTGCCTAATAGAAGCAACCAGAAAAAAATGAACCATGTAATAAAAGCAACGTGTATGTTGCTATGTGTATTCACAAGGGTTTGTGAATAAAATAGAAATAAAAAGTCATGTTAAGTAGGCTTTTCTTGCAATCAAAATAATATTCTATAAGACTAGCAAGCTCCCCTAGAATATACTATCTACAATTACAAGCAAGTTGATACATTTATGAATTGAACTGCATCATGAAGTGCCATCTTAAGGCTAAATAAGTTGCCAGGATATGCATTAATTCGGCTGGAAAACTGTTCCAGAAACTCATGCCTCTGCTATTTAGAAGCTTCCCTTCTGAATTTGAGTCTATGCTCATGCAGAGGCTGAAGTGTGTAACTACAGAGCTGAATACCATTTCAGACAGCAATCTTTCTGATCCATGTCTCTGTGCAGAACATCCCTCTGTTACACTGAACCTACCTGATTGTACAATTCAGTTCATCCACCTTCTGTCCGTTTAAATCTGCTTCCTGAGCAGCTAAGCGAAGTTTCTCCTCTACCTTTCTCAACTCATCTGCTGCACATGCTTTCTGCTTCTGAAGCTCCTTTTCCAAAGTGGATACCTGGCAAACAGTATTCAGAATACTTTTCAATTACATTCCAAAGAAACATACATCCTTGTCTTGCAACTCCTATAACATAATGAGGGGTTTAACGCAGCAGATGTCTTTATAGTCCGTATGTAATTTAAGACTAGAACTTTGCACATTTGAAAGACAAATAGTTTCTAGTAAATATAACAAGAGACAACTTTCTGAATTTAAATGCACTTCTCCTTAATTGCAGTCTAAGGTTTGATTTTCAAAGTACCTAGCCACTCTAATGCGAGCTAGCATTCCCGATAGCATAGAACCTGGTTTAAGATAAAACAAACCACTAAACTCTTTATTTTAGATATATCTAAAATAATAATTATCAACTCAGTTATCAAAGAAACATTCAGATTTTAAAGGTATTACAAAAACATATCTAAAGGCTTTTAATTTTCTCTCTTTATGTAGACACTTCTCACCATACTGTACCTGTTGTTCAAGTTTAATCTGATTATCTTCCAGCTCCCCATTTCTAATAGTTTCGTGCTGTAACATTTGCTGATGATGAAGCAAAGTTTGTAGGAGAATAGTTTGTTCACTCATGTCCTGAATATTCTGATCTTTTATTTTTATTTCTTTCTGCAAATGATGAAGCTGAAAAGACATTTATTTTCACTTGCATAGCTATTCTCTCTTAATGTGCACAGAATCACATCTGTGATTCAATAGAACTTCTGGCTCTGAATTTAGTTGCATTACAGTTGCAACAGTACATAACAGACCTCATAATTCATCACTGAGTTGTGCTTTATAAAGTAAGTTAGGATAGTGGTAACTTAGCGGTCCCAGTTTTTGATTCTTGCTTTCTAAATATAGCTTGTCAATGTTTTAAGAACATACATAAGAGATTTTTAATTTCAGGGTCTGGCAATCTCTGTTTGACTGAAGCCTCTCTCTCAGCAGGTCAGCACTGACATGAACAGCCTACTATATAATTAATTCATGTGGTTGGGCATACTCACAAAGAAAAATTCATACTAATATTTAAACTCAATTCCTTCTTGCTTTCATGTAGTAGTGGAAAGTATGATAAAACTCTGAGGCTTGAAGTAAATATTTTCTTATGCCCAGGACTTCTTCCCCATTAAGATAGTTGAAAAACAAATCAATTATATGCACCTAAATTTATATTGCAATACTGTTCCCTCCATTTTTTTCCCCAAGAGAATGCTTTGTTTCACATAATTCTGATTTGTTACTTCTTTCAACAGTTAATTTATCTGGATGCTTCTTTTCCCTAAGCTTATCCAGTGTTTCTTAGGTATGACTTTTCCCCTTTACCCTCACAAAATGCATCATCTTTTCCCAGCTTACTTCCTATTCACAGTTCCTGTTGCAAATGTTTTCGCTGTTATTTTACAAACTTTTAGATTAAATCAATCATAACAAGTGTTCTCTGCAATACAGAAGAGTTGCAAAACAAGCTGTTACCTCTTCAGACCTGTCTTTGAGCTGATTTTCAAACACCTCCTTATTTTCTTGTGACTGACTCAAATACATTACAACTTCTTCCTTACATACCTTTAATGCTGACTCGAGTTGTTGTACCTAGTTGGATGCAATAGATCACTTAAAATTGCATGGCATGGTCTGTATTAGCTAGTCTAAAAATTGTGTTAAAAGTCATCTTTATATAAAATGTCCAAAAAGCTACATTTTTATCGAAAGAGTATTAAAATAGTCATGGAAGATTATGATAAACTTTAAAACTGAAATAGTATTCAGAAATTAAAATTATTAGTGAAATTCAATTACAATACTTTAGACTGTGTTTAAACTAGATGAGACTATCAGTTACGAGAAGATATTCCAATATTTGTCAGTAGCTAGAATTTAAAAGCAGACATATGCCCAATACCAAATCATTAACCATTAATCATGTATAAATAAATTTGGAATTATCATCATATGTGAGCTGACACATGTTTTCCAAAAATAACACTCAGATACAAAAATAACATTCTTGATACACTTCTTTTGAGAAAGTTACTAACAGCATGTTTTCCCTTTCTGCACTGGGAAACAGTGCCAGACTTTCACCAAAAAGGAAAGGAAGAGCTTTGAGCAACGTCAACACTGTTAATCTGCTTTACCCTTTTAATATTAATTTGAATTTGAGTAATCTCTAACAAATATCTTATAACCTCAAACAGACAAAAATTATAATGAATAAACCCCCAAAGGTCTTGAGCCATAGTAATTAAGCTTTTCTTAACCATTTGGTTTCGATACTAAGACTTCTCATCAATGAGAATTGTGCTGAATTTAGCTGCAGACTGGCTGACGCTTTCCATTTTGCAATCAGACTACCAGTTTTCTAAATCACACTGGACTGTATATCTCTCTCTCCCCACCCCATTCAAGAGTTTGTTGAAGAGAAATTACAATGGGTCTTAATTTTAAATCTCTGTAAAACGTCCCAAATACTACAAAGCCACTTGGATAGCAAACAGGTCCAACATTCTAACAGCTGAGACCCCAGTATCTTCTCCTGCTGATATCCTGGAGATTTAATACTGTTTGAAACCTCACTGGGGCAAATCACCACATGGCACTGGTTCATTAAGACACTGTTGAAAGTGCTGCATGGAAAATATTTATCAGGCAAACACTAGGAAGAGGTATAGATGGTTAAAAACATGACCAATGTTATAGTATCATATATATCTAAAATATATGCCATATCTAGACAAAAAAGATCTATAACATTAGTTCTGTTAGACAAAGTTGTACTTTGAGAGTACAATAAGCACAAGTCTGTCCTATTTGTAACTACAATAATTTTATAAAGCAATTATGCATTGCATAATCCCTTACTGTAGGTTTCACCATACTTGTCTTAATTAAAAAAAATGAAACCAAACCAAAAAGAAATAACAGAAAAAAAATGTAAAAACTTCAGGTCAATGACTTCTGAAATATTTACCTAAGACAAATTTCTATAAAAAATTTTTTCTCTAGAGAATAAAAGGAAATACACCATTACTGCAAACGTCAAAACTATTAGTTGAAAATAACAAAGAACTTATTAACTTTGATTCTTTCTTCTGTTAAGTGACTTCCCAGCATCTTCAATCCTTGATCTTCCTTGACATTTTGATTTTCCATTTCCTGTTTGTACACATATTTTTATTCAGGAGAACAAAATGTAAATATAGTAACAGTAATTTAATAAAAACTCATATTCAGAATCAAGGGAAAAAACCCAGATCAGTGTATTTAAAACACAATTGCTTCTATGATGAATTTGCGTACATGATACTCTGAAGTAAATTTGGTTCCTGACAGATGTCCCTTCATATTCTGCAGAGCAGGCATTATCAGACTAGAACATTCTTGATTTTCCACCTAGTGCAGAATAGATGCAACTTTTCTTTATCCAGATCTGTTTCCTTTGATCAGAGCAAGAAGCCCAAGGGGCAAACCAGAGACATAAAGAGAATGCTGAGACAGAAAAAAATGAAAGGCCACTGAAGTTTGTACAATATATAGTAGTAGCAGCAGTAACTGGTGACTACACTAGATTCAGTCAATTAGTCAAACAAGAATTAAAAAGCAAAAACATAAGCATCTTTAATGTTCTCCAATTTTCCCATGTATTTATGGATGTGCTTTTCATTATTATTAGTCACTTGTTCAATTTGCATTTAAAAAAAGTCAAGAGCCAACCTTACCTCTCTGCTTCCTATCAGCAGCCCATCCAATGATTCAATGTAATGAAGCTGTTTATGTATAACCTCTTGTTGTAAAACAGATATTATTTTCTCTTGTTCAATGAATTGTTGATGTTTCTGCTCCAGCTGTGTCTGAAGCTGTCCATAAATAAATCATAATTTATTACTTAGATAAGAATTTTTGCATCTAAATGTAATTCAGTTCTATTCACCCATCACTTTTCTAATGAAAAGTAAATACAGTCTTGCCAATTGCACGGTTTTAAAATTATCAAGAAATCCCAAACTCTTAATGTCTTAAATCAAGAGGAGAATCGAGAGAATGAGAGCAGACAGAGTGCAGTAATCTGTCATCAGCCAAGACACGCATACATTCTTTAGTAAAGGATGACAAGCTTCTTGAACAGCTAGAAATAGCCACAGTTATATTTCTAATCACATGAAGCAACAGAATTCTTCTTCAAAGAATGAAAAATCTACCAAGTATTCTCCCTGAACACAGATGCTCATAAGGCTCAGGCCGGCAGAGGTTCAGCCAACAAGAAAACGTTGTTAGAAGCTGTCATGGTTTAAATCCAGTAGGCAATAAAGCTATACTTCTTTTTTGCTTTGTTTAAGGCAAAGAACAACAGCACTCTTCCTAAGTCCTTACTTCTCTTTAGTTGAGCAGAAAAGAGGATATGAATATTTCAGAAGGACAGTTGTGCAGAGTTAGATGGAAAATGTAGTAAAATCAGGAAACCTACGGAGAAGAATGAACTTCTTAATATAACTTTTTAAATGGATGTGTCTCACAATTACAAGAAAGACAAAGAAATTAACATAGGAAAAAGCTACCAAGTATAACACTCGTACATACTAGCACACAAGGTCTTACTAGTTCTATCTGTTTCTTCATCTCTTCGTGCTGCTCAAGGTGAACCAACTTTGCATTTTCAAAAGCAGAATTTATTTTCTCATGTTCTTCACTGATAGTTGCTTCCAACTCATGAATGTGTCTGCTTTTTTCCTGGGAAACGGCAACAATAGAAAGACTTCATAAAAATATTTTGTGACATTAGCAGCTTATTTGATCACCTAGTTTCTAGATTTTGTAAAAGAACAACACAGAAAATACTGAAGTTACACAGTGCATGTGTCATCTCAAAGGATGGCACACCTGTAACACAAGTAGAGAAGATCAGTAGAAGGAGCAGCTACAGAGACAACTGACTTCAGTAGGACCAGATCTTCATTTCACATATCATAAGGAAAAAGTAACATGTCCGTTAATAACTTACCACATTCAAAGGCAGGGAAAAAGGAATGTTTTATTTGAAACAAGATTCAGTTTTTAAAGACTGCATACCTCAAAAACTGCACAGATTATTTAGCAGATCTGAAAGTCTATCCATTTTGAATACTACTGTTAAGTTAAACTTTAATCTCCACTTATGTCTTTTTACATAAATATAGTTTCTCAGTGAGAACATTTTACCATGAGTTCCTGTTCCAACTCAGCATTTCTTGCTGCAGCAGTGGAATAAGCAATAGTCTTTTCTTCCAACTGTTCCTCAAGTTCAGAAAGTTGATAAGATTTCTTTCTCATCTGAAATTAAACATAGCACTAAACAGCATGTAAACAACTGTTAGGGGTTTATTCAAGTATTTGTATATACTTTCTTATCACAGGTTCCATTTTAGGTACTACTATAGCATTTTTAATTAATCGTTTGTTTTGTTGATCTATTAAATTTTATTACTTAAAGAGAAAGATTCAGGACAATTTACCTAAAATTTATCCAATTAATGATAACTGTGAGCAAAATAGCTACTACAGATTTATAATATTTATGTCCATTATTAGGAAATACTTCAAATCCCATTATGCCCAACTCTATAAACACATTAGCACTGGAATGTAAACATTAGCATTTTAACTTATTCAACCTGAGATGAGCTGAAGCCTAATTTCTTTCATTTGTGACTCTCTGGTAATGATGTTTATCTCTGGCAACTGTACTAACATTAAATGAGGAAAAATACAAGTGTATTTCAACATCTATTTCCTAAGATTACACATTATTTAAGCCGTACCAAAGTAACGAGACTGAGCATAGTTTTCACATAACAAATCAAAGTAGTAGTAGAAAAGCCCACTACTACATCAGCTTTAAAACCATATTTCCAACAGTTAATAAACTGAGGTTTCTATCTTTAAATTTTTCTGCTTGCTGAAAACTTTAGTTCAGATTTTTTTCAAATAAATCAGATTTTAAAATTAATACAGCAATTACAGTTAACTGAAGACAATAACTATTGTCTTCACTATCTTTGCTTACTGAAATGAAGAAGCAGTGACATTTTTTCAGTGCTGCTAAAAACTTACTTCTTTCTCTAAGCTACTAGTTTTTGAAGCCTTCTTCAGTAGGTCTTCCTGTATGATTTGAAACTGGCTGGTCCTTTGAGCCATGCTGCTCTTCAAAGAAGAATTTTCATCATCTGCTTTTGTCAGTTTAGTGCGTAACTCTTCTATCTCTTTCTGGAATCTTCGCCTCATCTTTTCAAATTGCTTGCTTATAAGTTCCAACTGTTGGCATTTTCTCCTCTCTCAAAGTAGAAAAAATAAATCAAATATTAATTTATACAAGGACATACAAACCTATAATGTAACTGAAAGCTATGACTCATGAAAACAAATGAAAAAGCCCCCAACAAAACCCCAACAAACAAACAAGAAGAAACCAAGACAGCATCATTAGGTGCCCTGAAGGAATGTCTTGGAGCAGTCCTGATAGTAATCACAGAAGCAATGGCAGAGATACTGCAACAGCAGGTTACAGAGAAAAGCATCAACAAAAATATGAAGACCTTAGCATAACCTGCATAAAGAGAGAAATACATGGTTCCATTTCAGTACAACTCATAGCTTAGCTATTGCAGAACAAGTAACTTAACTAGCAAAAGAAAGAATATTGTGCCTGGAGCACATGACAGTTTCCAAGGTGGCAAAATGCTCACTGTTCAACCAAACCATACCTCATAGCTCACAGAGACACATTTAAAAAATAAAACTGTAAAAACAATTTAAACACCACCAGAACATTTCTGTTTTGTGGATTAATCAGACAGAACTGCACAGCTATTTCAGAGAGCTTACCTCCTTGACTTCTGATCAATTTGACAGGCTCTGTTTCCAGGCCACATAACCTGCTATTTTCTTGTCCTTCATTATCATTAGACAGATGCTCAGCTCCAGTACAGATAGTTAAGTTTGCATGAGGCTTTTGAATTTCAGCTTCTTTCATTGACAGTTTAATGCTATTATAAAGGAGAAGACAACTATTTAACATTCTTTCTATATCCTAATTCTAACACCACCTTATTATCTGCCTATTCTTGCCATAATTCAGTAACCAGAAAGTTATACCTTAGGTCTGCAATCAAAGGTTTACTTGATTCACCACAAGACTCTGAGATAACTTCTTTTGTTGAGGAACTCAAAAGCTGCTGTTTGAAATGGTGCCATTTAAACTAAAAGTTAAGGGAAAACAAAGATCAATGAAAAATCAATTTTATATTGCTTCACAGCATGATTAATTAAGGTATTATACCAGCATATAAATTTTAAGACACATATGCCAGAATGTTAAAAGTTTGGATAACTTGATTCTTAAAATTATTCAACACATAATACACTTTATAAGTCTGTATTTGTTACTGTACCTCTTCAGATGTACTTGAAGACAACTGAGAAATAATGGTTTCTAGTATGTTGAGCTCTTCCCTTGAATTCTCAATTTCTTGATGACATAATTTCAAGTGGTTATGTTGCTGTGCAGTAAGTGCTCTCAGCTCTGCATTTTCACTTATTAGAGCATTTTGCTCTTTAAGCACATTTTCTTTTTCAGAAAGCTCACTCTCAAGCTTGATGATCTTCTGATCAGACCGACTCAGCATTGATGTAATTTCAGTGTTCTTTGCCTCTAGAGTCTTAATTTCTTCTTTTGTGCTACTATTCTCTTCCTTTAATTGCCTAAAAAGGCATTTAAAAGGTATAGCTCAACACAGAGGATTTTCATTATTAGAAGTACCAGAACACACCATAGCTGCACTGTTTTACTAGTTTCCTCCCTCTCAAAATCTAGGCTTAGCTCTATACAAAGGACAAAAAAGTTCTCGCTGCTTTACTAAGCTTTCACTGTTCCTAAGGACCAAGATGGAAAGTGTTATCAGCAAACAAAAGGACAGAGTCAACAACTTCTCTTTCTTAAGCAACTTCATGAAGTTTTAAGCACTGCCGGGACAGTCACTGGTAGGAAACGAACCAAACGGCTTTAACTGTGCAGAAGCCAGGGCAATTTAAGAACAGGATAAAATAACTGGATAACAATATGTAAAATCAAAATGGATGAAGATACTGAGTTACTCTATCATTCTATTACTAACAAGAGAGGGAGGGGTCTCATTTCTCCCTTCATATCTGCTTGTACGCTGAGACAAACGTATTTTTAGCTCATCTCAAATTATTTACTTTTTTAGGTACTTGGGTTTTCCAAACTGAAATTAGCTCAGCAAAGGCCCTGGTGAGTTCCAAACCTGGTGTAACTGAGCAGAAAAAAAGAGAACAGCCAAGGAAAAAAAAAAAACCCAAAATCATCAGCAGAGACCTATTAAGTAGGCTCAAACTCATGGAAGGGTGTTCACACACTGTCCAATCTTGCTAAAATGGCCTAAAGAACAACGGTTTAGACAGGAATGTGAGTGTGGACAATGCATGTAAACAGAATACCCTAAAACGTCTGTGCAGGTGTTTGTCCAAACTTAACAACTCTAAAAACAACCACCTCATAGTTGTCTTCCCTCATTAAAGTCATGAGGGAATTACAAAGGACTGCTGAAAAAAGGAGCATTCAGCTTGAAACAAAACATACAAAGAGCATAAAAAATTGTAAGTGGAAAAGGACTTTTGAGTTGTGACAGAAAGCATCAAAGCCAGGTCTGACCATTTCAGAAGCTGCAGTCAGCACCACAACCTCCACTGCAGCCCGAGTGCAGCCTCCCCATTGGATGCCAAGGGTATCCTTCACTCCAGCCAGGGAACTCACAGGAAGGAGCATTAGCAGGGCACAGGCAGCAGCACAGGCACACGTGAAACCAGAGTACCCACAGAGCACATGCAGCAGTGAGTGACCAAGGGAATGTCCCCAGAAGGCTTGGGGGGGTGGCTTCTTACTGGGAATGTGTGGCAGCATGTGGGATTAAAACATTTAAGGATTAGTTATAGAAAATAATGTAGAAAAAATTATTGGTTTGAACTACATGAATGGAGCAGCATATTCACAGTGACCACTGTATCATGCAATTCCTTCTCAAAAAACTGTGCAGAGATTTTTAAAAGCCCTTGCGTTACCTTAGTTGCTCTTCTAGGATGTTTAGATCCTTTCTGTAGCTGATACACTTTTCAATCAACTTCTCTTTTTCTTTTTCACAATTAATTAAACGTTTTCCCAAGACTAATTCTTCAGCTTTAACCTTAAAAAGCAATTTTTTTCATTACTGTACAACAATAAACTAAGCTTCCATGCCCAACTGGCTATTTTTAAAAGAATACTATAAACACTATGCTCTTTTTTTCCTTTCTGTTAAGTCTGTAAATAATTCTATTGCTCACTGTTGTGAAGAAAAGGGGCAAAGAAGTTTTCTTCTTGTGTCATCTGCGAAAAAATTAATTTAATATTTTAGGGCATATTTATGGAGGGTAATCTCCTTCCACGTGGAAAGAAGTCCAATAAAAAAAAATCTCAGTCAGAGTTAACTGTCTCAGACCTGTATTTTCTCTTCCCACAAGGCAGGAAGCATTACCAGTTTGATCACCAGAACTTTGGGAGATGACTTCATCTTAGCTCTCCTCTAGCTCATGTTTCATTGAATGGGTTAAACATACAGAGTAAAAGAGTCCTTTTGAAAGGATCTTATATGTTTAAAATGTAAAATTCCCAGCTGGCAAGCAGGGGACAGAAGAAACAACAGCACTATTAGGATACTCTAAAGATGCAGACTGTCCAGACTGTGCAAAGACAGTGTAAAACTGTATAACTGAATTTATCACCACAAATAGTTGCTTACCCTATCCCATCTCTCTTAGGACTTAGCCACTTACAAGCAGAAATGACTGACTCACTGGTGAACCTGTTGCTGTTAGCTGCCTTGTTTATTGGAAGATGAAAAATCTTAAAAACATGGCAAAAACTAGTGAAGAAAAAACTCTCACCTTTTCTAATTTTTCAGTTATTTCTGCTTTATACTTTTTGAAAGCTCTTGTCAGCTCCTTCACATTCAGCAAAGCTTCATTTCTTTGCTGTTCTGCTCTGCAAAGCCAAAGAAGCAAACCAATTTCAAAAACCACAAATTCCAGCCATTATGTAACTATCTCCTCCAGTTACTAAAAACAATTATTAAAGTAATTGCTCCAGGTACTTCCTTTCCTCATCTAACTTTCCAAGGCATAGATATCACGTGAGAAACTGCTCAAAGGAACAATCCCTAGTATTTCTCTCTATCACCACGCTCCTGCCCCTTCCCCTATTGTTACTCACAAGGGAAGAAGTTGGAGCAGTAACCTCAGGTATGCAGTCTGTTCAGGACACCCAATACAGGCACACAAAGAATTACTGCTACTCAATAACATTTCTCTCTTCCACTAAGGGAGATGTGGGCATGGGGAGTGCCTCCTCTAAGTACAGCCAACCCTCAGAGCAGCGTTTCTCAATCTGAGGACCACCATCCATCTGGAGATGGCAAAAGTATTCAGAGAAGGGGATAAAAATATTTCAGAATAACAAAACAGTGTTAGTCTAAAGCACTTCAGTTTCCCTGGCCAAAGAATAGCAAGTTGTGGCAATTAATGATTAAAAGAAAACTGTAATATTAACACTAGCCATAACACTTGCCTTTAACACCTGGCAGAGGCTCAACTTTTCTTAAGAACCAAAATATTTACATTTGCAACTAGTAACTAAGTACAGGTAGTTCCAACCCCACATGCTCTGAATGGTGATCATAAAGCAACATATTTCTTCAACCAGCAGTGCAAGCCCCACAGTATTTCCATTTGTCTTGCTATAAGAAGGTTAGAGGTAATTTTATGGGTAGATACACAAACCAAACAAAGAGTTTGCATTCAAAAGATTCAAGAAATGCTTTCCCAAGTAATCAGTTAATTTTTGCCCCAGGTAATGGAGTTAAATGAATAGGGTAGATAAGAAGCTTTTTATTTAATCCTCTCACTTTTTTAAAATGACATTTTGGAAGTGATAGGACTGTACATGGTAACTTCTAACAGTCAAAAGAAATTAGCTAACCCTCCCAGTAGCCACAGAGCCATTAAGCTAAAGGAGGCAATAGGAAAGGAAAACAGTGATGGAGATGGAATTACAGAACCCTTTTCAACAGCACCATATAGACAGGTAAGATTAAGGATAACAAAAATGTTCTCTCGATTATGTTGTGCCTTTATCACTTTCCTTGCACCAACCCCCAAAACACAGCACTCAGTACTGCTGAATACTGAGCATGGATTGCAGGTTCTTGCAAGACAAAGACAAAAATAATTCAGGAAAAATATATTCTGGACACTTTTCAGCTCTCCACTGCAGTACATCTGTCCTGAAGGGAAAAAAGCAGCTGATAAACTGGTTACTAGTGTACAGTATCAGTCTGCAATTACCAGCTAATTTCAAGATTTTAAATGTGCCTGTTTAAATAAGCAGTACCTTCACATAGAATTTCCCCTTTTTAAAAAAATAACATCCTTAAAGCAGAAAAGTAATTTGATTCCACACAATAAATAACTATCAATGGAAATAAGCACACACTTATTATTCTGTATTCCATTTATTAAAATGATTTAGTACCTCTTTCCTTGCTTGCTCCGTTCAATTAACTCCATTTTCAGATTTTTATAGCCCTTTTGATATCTTTGCAACATGTTTTCTCTTTCCAGTGCTGTTTTCTGGTTTTGATCTAGTCTATCTTCTGCATCTCTAGCAAATAAATAAAGCATAATAAAAAAATTAGGAACGTTTTTGTAAAGAAAATAGATTTCTGTTGTTCTTTTCTGCACATGATGTTTGAGAAGCACTAGTCAAACACACTGCATCTCTCTAGACTAGGCTTGGAATATCCCCAGTCTCCAGACTCCCCAGCAGTATGTCTGCAGTCTGGAGTGGTGTCCAAACCTCATCAATAGGCATCAGGTGTCACAACTGCCAAGGACCCAGGTGGCTGACCCTTTATATCACAAAGTGCACCATCATGTTTGAAAATATGTATGCTTGCTACAATAGAATATATGCAGCCATGCAGCACACAATCTCTCTATTCAATTATCAGGGCATATTTGTGTTTAGCACACATTATAACCTGGTTTCTTCCACCAGCCTTTATAATTTTTTCTGAATTTCTTGAAGTACATTCAGCACAAAATAGATCACCTCCCTCCTCCTATATTTGGCTCTGAAATGAAAGTTTCAGACCCCAGATTACATGACTCACACAGTACCAGTAATTATGTCATCCCAAAAAAGAGACTGGACTAGCAAGCAGACAACAATAAAACATTGATTTAAAAGTGCACTTATTACTTCAGAATTTTATCTTGAGCTGAAACTTCTGCTTCCAAGTTTAAAATCTGTTCTTTCAACTTCGGAATGCTGACTAAAGGTGTACCTAAAGTGGATTCAAGATACGAAATCTGAAATACAAAGATAATTGGGGTTGCATTAACACTTGCATACATATCTTCAGGTGATACACTTAAGAACAATCTGCTTACTGAATGACAGTGCTCTTAACCCTACTGTAAATTACCTTTGCTCATCTACACCAACTGACCTCCAATTTTCTGCTCATTTAACATCCCTTCCAGTTCCAAAGTGATATGCTGTCTAGCAGAGGAATTTCTTTATATGTCAAGTCTCTTGCTTTTCCCAAAAAGTTTATATTCAACTATTTCTTCTTTCAGTGTCAGACAGTCAAATGTTTTGTTTATCTATTTATTTGTACTGTCTTGGAGATAACATTTCTCAAACGAAAAGCACTAAGCATACCTATGTTTTCTTAACATTATATACAAACCAAATACAATATAGTTGTCATGAAACAAACCTGTACAGACAAGTATATACTAAATCAGTAATGATATATTAGATATAATATTTCTTTCTAATCCATCTTCACTTATTAATTTCTTAATTTGGATTAATGAGGTTAACTCTTCATTTCCTATGCAAATGACTACTGTGCCATTATTATTCACATTAATCTCAATGTAGCTCAGACGTGTGAATGTACAGTACTAAATACACATACTGAATTATTTTCTTTAATAATGTATTTTTCATTCTATGGCTTACTGGCTTTACACTAAGCTTTGGAACATGAATAGCGAGAATTCATAATTAATATAGTTGTTCTGCCCATGGAGAAATAGATTCCAAAATATTCTGTTCAAGATTAATACTGAATATTAAGTACATATTAAATATTAAACTTAGATTAAGGTAAGACAAAAAAATAGCATATTCTGCTTGGAATTATAAACTCAAAAGTCATGGTCACTGGGATGTTTGGGGATTGGGGTTTGTTTTTCTTTTTGATGAATATGCTAAAGATACATACTTTTTTTTTTGACTGCATCAATTCAAAGTTCATTGTTTCCACTCTGTTCTTTAGGTAGTGGTTCTGAGAAGTCAAAGATGCATTTTGCTCTTGAAGACGTTCATTTTCTTCCACAGTTTTATCCGAAGTTGTGGATACTGAGTAAGACTAGACACAAAAATATATTTTTATATATACACACACACTTATATATAAGCAATATATACATCATAAAATCATAAATAGTTTGGGTTGAAAGAGACCTTTAAAGGACATCTAGTCCAACCACCTTGCAATGATCAGGGACAACTTCAACCGCATCAACTTGCTTAGAGCCCTGTCCAACCTGACCTTGAATGTTTCCAGTGATGGGGTTAGATGGGGGATCTAACACCACTCTGGAAAACTGGTGCCAATGTTTTACTACCCTCATAGTAAAAAATTTACTTGTTACACCTAATCTAAACTGATCCCCTTTCAGTTTAAAACCATTACCCCTTGTCCTACTGGAACAGGCCCTGCTAAAAACTTTGTCCCCATCTTTCTTATAGACCTCCTTCAAGCACTGCAAGGCCGTGATGGAAACTTTGCAGAAAAACCGTATTGAAACGATATCATGTTTAAGAGTGCTCAACTGGTATCATTGTCCAGTCCTACAGTGTATCCGCTCCAAGCCCTACCAGCCAAAAAACATCCAAAAACATAGCAAAGATTAGAAAACCAAAGTAATAATAATAAGTAATAAAGAGCAATATTTACTTTGGGTTTTCTTTGAAAATCTTGGACAGATGTTTTACCACAATTCTTCTTGGGGTTGGAAAAGCCTTGACTGTTATAATTAGGCTGTACAAAATCCTCCAGAGCGAAGTCTGTCGCCTCAGCAAAACGGTGGCCATAATGTTCATTTGTACTAGTGTCAGGAGGGAGAGTGAAAAGTTACTACTCCAGTTTTTCTTTATTAAGTTGCTTATTAGGGTTGTTTATTCAAGACTGTTCAAACGGAAAGCGCAAAAGGAGCTAACTGGAGTAATGCATTACACCGAACAGGACAGATCCACACTATGAGAGACAGACAGTTCTCGTTCCCAAACACACATACCTGGAAAGCTCTTTCTCTACTGTTTGAAGGTTTTTTTCAGTTCTCCTCAGCTGATTCTGCAATAACTGAACGTTTGCAAGCAGGTCTTCATCAGCACCACTTTTAGAGCAAGTCCACCTAGTACATTCCATTGGTACCACACATATAGCTAAAATCATATTTAATATTAAAACACTGTTAAAGATATGTGAAAACTATTTTCAAAGATATTTTTAAAGATACCAGAAGAAGGTGGAGAGGAGACAAAAATCCTAAAAAAAAAAGGCAAATACTTTTGTCTTTCTTTCTAAGAAAAGAGAAAACACAAATTTTCAAATGTAAAGGTACATTTCACACACTACCTCTTCCCATGTTCTCTGGATAAAAAAAACTGTACAAATTGCCTCTTTTGAGAAAAGGAGTTCTGTACGCGTTCATGAAGCACAAAAAACTTCGCGACTTGTCATATAGTAAAACTGGAAAAGCCCGCTATACATTAGTTGCCAAAACTCCCTCACACAGCGCATCGCGGTGACCTCGGAGCTCCCGGGGAGTCCGACACGGGAACGGCGCAGACGCTAGTGAGCAAAACTTGCCTCGCTGCCAGTGACCATCGAAACGACAAACGAAAGCAAAATATCCTCGGGGGGACGGGCAGCGCCGCGCGGAGAGCGCCGCGGGAACCCCGCCAGGGGCCCGGGCTGGTGGAGGGCTGAGGCACGGGGCACTGGGAGGGGGGCGGCGGGGAGGGGCCGTCCCGCAGCCCCGAGTAGGTCGGTGTCGGTGTCGGGCCCAGCCCCGGTGCGGCCGCGGCCCCGCCCCTCTCCCGGCACAGCCGCGCCAGAGCCGCCCCGACTGCGCTCGAACCGCGCGGGTCCCACAAGGCGCACGCGCGGCCCCGCCGCCCTCGACGCTCTGTGGGCGGGGTCAGCGCTGGCGGCCGCGGTGCACTGTGGGCGGGCGGGGCGCGGCGGCGCGGCGGCTGCGATTGGTGCAGAGGGGTGGGGGCGGGGCTATACCGGCCCCGCCCCCGGCCGAGCGCGCGGGGTCGGGGCCGCGATGGCGCCGCGGCTGCTGCTGGTGCCGCTCGGGTGCCTCGCGCTGCTGCTGCTGCCGCCGCCCCGCGCCGCCGAGTTCAGCCCCTCCCTCGACAGCGACTTCACCTTCACGCTGCCCGCCGGCCGCAAGGAGTGCTTCTACCAGCCCATGCGCAGGGACGCCTCGCTGGAGCTCGAGTACCAGGTCGGGGGGTGGAGGACGGGACGGGACGCGCGGCCGGGGCCGCCCAGGGAGGGCGGGGGTGTCCCGAGGGGAGCGGGGGTCCCGCATCCCGCCGTGTCCGCGCCGGTGCCCCTGTGCAGCGGCTCGGTCCGGCCCCGCTCCGGGCGCTCCGTCACGCCTTCCGGGGCCGCGGCGCTGCTGCGGGAGCCGGGGGGGCCGTGCCCTGCCTCGAGCAGCGGCCAGACCTGGGCGGGGGAGCCCCGCCAGCTGCCGCAGAGCCACGCTGGAATCGTACACTGGTAAAACCTCTGCCTTGGGAGGAGAAAATTACCTGAACGGCCTTTTGTAGTTATGCTGTCAGATTTTTTTTTTTAACACTTTCCAAGGTCTCAAGTCGCCATCCTTTAAAACGGCAGAACGTAGGAAGTTCACGGATGTGACCTTTAAAGCGTAAGGAACATAGTACTGATGCACAGAGCCCATACTTGCCTATCTTTGTGTTGATATTAAAACACCGTTCATCACAGTGATTAAAGTTTTACAAAAACAGCCCTGTTTAACTAGGCAGAAATTAAGGTCTTGATGTCTTTCTTGGGAAGAGTTGAGTCTCCCAAATATGTCTGGGAAAGATTTCTGTCTCAGGCCTTTTTTCCTGTCCGTAAAACGAAGACTTTTTTCCAGTAGAATAGATACAGTGCAGAAAGCTGCAGTGAATATTTTCCCACCCTGCTACTGTGCCCGGATCTGTGTCTCTTTCCTCCCCTCCCTTTTTTCCCCCTCTGCTTCCCAACTGAAAGTACAAAGCTGAAAATCCTGATTATTTTCTAATTTCTAATGTTGTTACATGCAGAACTGAGAAAGAATGAAAGACACATGGTTTCAAGCTTTGTTCAGAGCCCTGTCTAAGCATAACAGAAGTTTATTTTGCACTGAGTTGGATTTTATTTTCATCATAAACTAAATAAAGACATTATTTTAGAGAGAACAAATGAGTATAACAGTGAATTTCTTTCTACTAAGGCATAAATGCCTTAGCACTACTGTTAACGGTAATGATTCATCTTTCTCTTTGAATGTTAGAAAAGGAGCTCTGTATGTTCTCAATGTTGAAAATTGATTTTGTACCTTATTATGTTAGTGGCTAAAGCATAGGAATATTTAACATAGCATGCAGGTAATTCTTCTAAGACATAACGCAACAAACACTATGCTGATATAAAGTTGTTTTTCTGGGTGTTTCGGGTGGATCAAAGCCCTAAAGGTATGTCCCTGTGTGTGGTTTTTCAGCTGTTAGCTACTAATTTCCCTTGTCCTTTGACTTTTTTTTTGTAAGTCTCCAGTGCCCCTTTGAGTCAGCATAAACTTCGCCCTCCATTTCAGCAGGAGCAGACTGCTGTACTCAAAAACCTCGCTGGAAAACAAGCAAACAAAAAATCCCCTAGCGTGGACCTAAGTAATGTCATAAAAATTATCCCTGTCTGCCCCCTTATGCAGTTAAGAGAATTTCCACAACACAACAGATGTGGTGATAAAACTGTATCCATGTTATACAGTTAAAGCAGCACAGCTTTGTAATACTGTATATACTTCTTATGAGCTTAGGAAGCTAAATGCCTTCAATTCCTCCTACCTTGGGGGAAAAAAGAATACCCTGGCAGAGTTCAGACCTTAAATCTGCATCAGAAGGTGAGAAGGTCTTCGGTACACCTTTGATTGGCGTAAGAAGTCTGGTCCTGTCTTCTACACTGTTAATTCACCCAACAAAGAGATCTTGGGGATGACAGTGCATAGTGTTCTTGTACAAGTATATACGTGTATATACATAGGAGTGACTTTTGTTATCAAATTTCTGCCACTGAACTAGTGCTGATACTTATTGATCAATTATGTCTGCCATAGAAAGGCCAAATTTAGGCATCTGTTGTTGGTATTTTTACAGGTTGCCCATTGATAAAACTGTAGGCATTCTTAAAAGTATTTTGCCTAGCCTAGCAAAATTAGGTCATATTTAGTTTAAGATTTTGAAACTGCTAAAATGCTTTTGGGTTGAACCAGTTTTTAATCTGTTTCCAGTTAACTTGGTGTGAACTCATACAGACAGATTAGTCTTTCAGATTCTTTATGTGTCAGTTCCCTTACCTAAAAACGTTGCCATCAGCAGTGCAAACAGGAATTCCACTGGTTGGAGCTTCATTTTTTGTTTGTTTCACAGGTTCTAGATGGAGCAGGATTAGATGTTGATTTTCATCTGCTGTCTCCAAAAGGTGAAACTCTAGTTTTTGATGAAAGAAAATCAGATGGAGTTCATACGTAAGTTTAAAATACTCAAACTCAGAAGTGTTACATGAAGTACTTTTCTGGTTTCTTTAACAAATATAACTAAAATAAAGGTTGAGTACTTTTTATTCTTTAGTATTAGAAAAGACTTTCTAATAGGACAGTTTGAGAATACCAACTTTCTTTTTATAAACACTGAATGCTTTTTACATGGAACGTACTGTGAAGCAAAGGATGTTTTTGTTTTAATGCTGTTAAGGGTCGGTGAACAAAAATAATTATTGTGGAGTTGAAAAAGGTCTCCACATCTAATATCAAAAGATCTTGTCAGTCATATAAATAAGAAGCTAATGTCCCATATTTTTCCAATCCTTTTATCAAAATATGTAATAATTGTTGCAATTTTACTGTAGAGTATAAGAATTCCACTCATTATAGGTTTTTTGTAGTGATTAACAATAATTCAAAATTCCCAAAAAGAAAAATGCTGTCTTCATCATTTTGAGCCTTTAGAGCCAGTGGGATTGTTTTGCTGTGACTGTGCAATCTGTCCTTAGATGTCCTTAGAGTTCTTATTTTTATACAAAAAGCATATTTGGTTATTTTGAATGCACAGTTGTCAGTCTTAAAGGGGAAACTTTGCTTACAAAAACTCGCTTTTTGAGAACCAGAATAGTTGATTTAATCACATTTTGCTTATATACACAGGGTGGAAACAGAAGATGGGGATTACATGTTCTGCTTTGACAACACATTCAGTACCATTTCTGAAAAGGTAATTTTCTTTGAACTGATCCTGGACAATATGGGAGAAGATGGACAAGATCAGGAAGACTGGAAGAAATATGTTACAGGCACAGATCTCCTAGATATGAAATTGGAAGATATTCTGGTTAGTATTGATCTTTAATTCTTTTCCATGCAAGAACATTTGGAAAAAAACTCAAGTGTCATGTCGCCATTCTGCCTTGGTCTAGTGGGTCATCCTGGAAACTATTCCAGTTACTAATACAGGAAGCTTAGCACCATGGGTCTCTTGCTTACAGACAGAAATTTGAAAATATTTTCAGAATAGGCCCTTCATCAGCAAGAAGAAACTGCCTAGGTCTCAAAGTCACTCTATTTCCAATTCAGCTTCCTTTCTTCCTACTGCTAAAATGGGACATTTTTCCCTAGCAGCAATGAATATTTATAGCATTAAAGTATTACTTAATCTCAATTATGTAGTTGGAACCGCTGCATAGATTTTTATCAATGTTTGAAAATAAAGTAGTATGGATTAATATTTCTATCTTCAGTAACTTAGATATTACTCTATTAGTTCTTTTGCCCGCAAATTTTATTACATCTTTTTAAACTTATAAACAGGAGTTAATTTGCATCACACCACGGGTTCAGCTTTGCAGACATTCTTTGAATGATTGTGTTTCCTTAAACTGGATGCTGACCCTATTTGATGTAAGATTCAGAGTACTGCTGAGTCAAAGCTTTTATTCCCTTTAAGATCATTAAATCTTGAGATTACTCTAGAAGCAAAGGATTGTTCGGTGTTCCACTGTTCTTAGTGCTTGGTAGGATGCAGTGATCTGTTGTTTGTTTGATCATAGCTACAAATGGTATCTTAAAAAAAAAATCCAAAAAACCAAACCAACATCCACATATACTTACTGAGTACACTATGTAGAAAATTACATTGTTTGTATTATTTATTGCCATAGACAAAATGCAGATTTTTAAATAGAAGACAATGTTTAAAATCTTTTATAGGTTATGATACACTTTTAAATAGTAATAAAACTAAATACAGAATCTGAAAAGTTGGCTAGATCGTTAAAATTGGCAGTCAAGACAATTAGAAAAAAAACAAAGTTAATGGGTGAAGTTGTAAAGAAAATCTCTCTCACATTAATCACAATATGTACATGTATTTGACAGATACTTGTTTACATACTGGTATCTCTTCCAAAAGAAAAATAAATACAGAACTTGTCTCTGAGAACCTTGAAAATCTTATAAAAGTAGGTAATTTTTGTAAAGCTAACATTAGTATTTAATGCCATTGTTTACTTAGTCAGGATATTACTTTCCTTGCAAGGTCACTGAGGATTTACAAAAAACATTTAGTAGTTTAACTTTTTAATAA